AAAGTGATGATAAAGACATTCATAATGTTACAAAAGATTTCCATTTCAGATAAATGCTGTTCTATTCATCATCTGAAAAATTTTACTCCGCTGTTTTCAACATAATAAAAATAATAAATGTGTTTTTTAGCAGCAAATCAGAATATTTGAATGATTTCTGAAGGATCATGTGACTTCAGTAATGATGCAAAAATTTCGGCTTTGAAATCACAGAAATAAATTATATTTGAAAATATATTAAAATAGAAAACAGTTATTTTAAATATTAAAATATTTCACAATATTACTGCTTTTGTTGTATTTTGGATCAAATAAATGCAGGATTGGTGAGCAGAAGAGACTTCTTTAAAAAGCATTAAAAATCATACTGTTCAAAAACTTTTGACTGGTAGTGTATATCATATATATATACTGTATATATATAGAAATGGTGGTGGGCCACCTGGACCAAAAAATGCCTGGGCCGATTTTTTATCCCAGTCCAGCCCTGCTCAAAGGTGTTTAGGAGGCAAAACGAACTCCCCCGGAAAGGTTGACTCATGAAACTCTAAACACAAATCCAAAACTTCTAACTCAATTCCCCGAACATCCTTTATTCAGGTCAAAATGAAGCTCTCCACTCAAAACAACTCAATCTTGCTGAAGAAGTAAACTTCAGACATGACACACAAACCCTCAAAAACACACACTACAACACAGTCCTACACAATAATGTGATAAATTCAAAACAATACTACAAAAACCAGTAATAAGTTATTTTGCTTGTGGTCCCCTAAGCGATGGAAGCGATGGAAGCTGACGTTATCCCAAACAACAACGTAGCAAGGCTGCACTGGTTGTGCTGGCTCTTTCTGGTCAAGCTGGAACACACGCTCTCTTAGACCATCAAGGAAACCAAGGAGGAGCATAGTGTTATAAGGTCAAAGAATGGCATGGCGGTGGAGTAGCCCTCGTTGGCTGATGGCCGCGCACATAGTGACGTTCCCTCCTCGTTGGCCAGGGACATTCACAATAGCCCGATGGCAAATTATGTTCCTCCCCCTTCTCCTTCTTTTGGTTTGGTCAGGTTAAACCCAGCCTCATCAACAAAGATAATCTCATGGGGAGCAGGCCGGCTTTCAATCTCAAAGATTCTCTGCAAAAAACATTAAACAGCAGAGTATGACTACCCTGAAACACAGTTCAAGAGTGTACAAATGGCAGACCATCACATACTTATTTGTAGCTTACAGTTGTACTGTGACAATACACAATACTTCATACAATTTATAGTACAAACTCAAACCTGAACATATTCCAGAGGTTAGTCTTTGACTCTGTCAGAATTTCTTTCAAAAGGCACACGGTATGCCGGTTTCATCCAGAACCTGTGCTTTAGGAGGATGTGATCAATTGTGGAGTGGCTGATGGCATTTATCCCTCTAAATTGGTGATTGTCTTCAATCACTCTCCTTTGAATCTCTCGCAGGCGGATTACATTGTTGGCAATGACCATGTTTACCAGCTTCCTTTCTTGCTCCTCTGACAAAAGCCTTTGCCTGCCTCCACCAGGTGGTCGTCTCTGTGTCCTACAAAAATTGAAGCACTGATTACTGTAAATGTTTACCAGCTCCCTTTCTTGCTCCTCTGACAAAAGCCTTTGCCTGCCTCCACCAGGTGGTCGTCTCTGTGTCCTACAAAAATTGAAGTACTGATTACTGTAACTGTAACACATACAGAAATTATATCTGTATGTGAGGCAATTTGATGCATTTCTTTATATTACAGCAGTATAGTGCAACAGTTACAGTACAATCAGGGGCGTTCCCTCCGAGGAGGCAAGGGGGGCAGTGTCTCCTCAAAAAATTGGATGACAAAATAATAGATATTACAAACATAAAACGAAAATATTACTAAATATGGCATTAAAAGTATAAAAGTCGCTCGTTTTTATAAAGTAACACTGTCCAACAGCGACACCTGCAGCTAAAGTTACAGCGGAGGCTTGCCTCCATTCAGTCCGTAGACTTTCAGCAGAGACCCCTTAGCTGCCGTGACTTTATATATCGCACAACAAAAAGTTGTTATCGTGACAGGCCTAGTCAAAATAAAACTTGAAATGGTCTGAAAACGTGATGACTGCTTCAGTTTTTAGTGAGCATTCAGCATGATGAAATGAAAGATATATCTTCATGTCTGTGGCAGTGTTTACAGTGCTTTTATGACACTGACCCGAAAATAAGTTGACTATTAAAAAGAACAGCTGAACATCAGTTCACAAATAAAAAATA